AAAAAAAAAAAAAAAAAAAAAAAAAAAAAAAAAAAAAAATAACATTTGTGCACCACAAAGCCTCGCGCAATGAACTTTGCGCACTGTATACTTTACTCACGCGATATACGTAAGTACTTATAGCTAACGTGTGTTATACGATCGTAGCCCGAAACCAGTAGCTTTGCGACGGTTCCACGAAACTGGAGGGCTTCGAGACCTTTTTCATTACCAACTCTCGCGCGCACACATATATATATATATATATATATATTAGGTACATAGCCTTTGACGGCGGCCGTCGTCATTTGCTCGTATCTACATACATAATGAGCTATAAACATATGTGTGCGTGTGCATCGACCGCAGTGTGAGATGTGTTTTGGACCTCTAGGTAATGGGAGGAGGGCATCTCGGTGTATAGACAAGAGGGGCCCGTGTGAACTGATGCCTCGGTTACGAGGGCGTTAAATTCGTTACTCGATATATTGGGGCATTTTCAGTACATCACGGGACATGTATACTATATGTGTACATTTGGGGCTTTTTCCAACTCTACAATTGATGTGTGTATATCAATCTGCTTTGTCGAGCGACACGGACCTACACATAATAATATACTGAAGATCGGTGGTTGCGATGGTTACACTTGTTTTCAACTCCGCAGTGTATATATCGAAGAAGTTTATTTATTTTTTCCTCCTCCGTACAAGTAGGTACACGTGAAAACGTAAAAATACCCGTTTCACTGGTGGTTACACGTTAAACCATACCCTATAAGCACCTGCTTTTCGATTTAGAAAAATAAAGTTATTGGACTGATACAATCATATGGTGTAATAACTCCATCGCCGTGGTGTTATTATTTGTTTCCTAATCTACGACAGAGAGCTTGAAAGTCTCAAATCGAGATGCAACTGTTTTTTTATAGAATAACAAAAATTGCAACGAAACATACCGATAAAAAAAAATCGACTTGAAAACCAAATGTTTCTTTTTTTTTTTTTTTTCATCATTATTTCAAGCGCATTGAAAAATCAGCGCGATTGTCACTCTCAAAGCCGCAGTCGAGTATCCTCGAAACAGCCGAGCCATTAATCTCGCTCGAAAAGCACATTAGCCGGAGCACGAGAGCTTTTCGTCAGACGTTTACGACGTCGCAGCTTCTACGCGCGTCTCCATCGCTCTTCTCGACACGGCCCTATAAATCACGGGAGTGCAGCTATATACATGCGCGACACAGAGAGCGAAAAAAGTTTTTCGCGCGCGACGATTCGGGCCGATCCCGCAAAAGGTATCGGGACACTCGTGCTCCGTATTACCTAATCGGCGCTGATGGATACCTGCATTTTGTACGAAAATATATATGTATAAATCGGAATGAGCTTTGGAAGTAGTGAGGGACACGAAAACTGCAAAAAAACAACAAGTGACTAGTTGATCGAATTATTATGTAGCTATGTACATGAAAGGCCTCGAGGAAGGAAAAATGGCACCACAAAATCTTTAGGAAAAAAGTAGTACCTATACTTTGAAAAATATCTTGTTTTCGACTTAAACTATCTCCAGTTGGACAGTAAAACTAATACAGACTTTTGATCATTTTGATACTTCAAGGAATACCAACTTTTTCTTTTTTTTTTTTTTTTTTTTTTTTTTTTTTTTTTTTTTTTTTTTTTTTTTTTTTTTTT